GTAGAAAATCAATGATCACAAAGGAGCAGCCCCGTCCACAAAGAAACTTTCTTCTCCTCTCCTTTTTTCAAACGTTCAAGTGTATCCCAGGCGGTTGTCCCGCACCTGTTCCGGTTAAGTCGCTTTTGTGCCGCGCTCCCTTCGATTCCCGCCGCTTTCTCGCCCCCGCGGGAGCCCCGTTCCCTTTTGTCCACCGCCTGCCTTCGTACTCGCATCGGTCCGGGAAAGAAACCGTCCGTGGAAGAATAAAATCGTCGACTCTACCTGTTTGCTCGGCCATTGCGAGTTTTGTTTACCAAGGCTCGCTTGTTTCAGAAAATGCATCATTGTTCCGCCGGAAACTAGCTTCTGATCCAGTTACCATCAAAATACTTTAAGTCTAGAAATCATTTTCATTGATAAGTCATCACGAATTTATAAAAGAATTTCTGTCATCGACGTAAACCGTAAAACCAATTTCCACATACATAAATTCTTAATGCTTAACTATCGACAATAGAACATTTCAAATTGTGTTCATATAACTTTCACAATCTTGGTGAAGTTGGACGGTGTACTTTTTAAGAAAGAAACCTACAGGGATTGATGGTCGACCAGCAGTCAGACTAGCTGACGAGACAGTGGAAATATACGTCTGACCGGTACCCGTCTTTTTCCCGGCGCCGGAAAATGGTTTCCAGTGAATTTTAGATAAGAGGATAGAATACTGGAGAACACGAGTTGATTTACGCTCGATAAACAGAATTGAAGCCAATACGGTATTTCTATCAGAAAAAAAACTACTGTACTAAAGCCAAACGCAGTGTTTCTAATAAAAGAAACAAGTTCAGTCGATTTAGAAAGAACTGAAACGAAATCAATAAATTCCTAATAAAAGTAGGGACGTACAACGTTTTTATTTTCTCATACATTATTTAAAACAAATACAGAACAGACAGAAACTGTTTTAATCCTAATTACTACCACGAGGCCTCTAATCTTCTTTAATACTAGCCGTTCAGGCGAGACATTAGAGCCACGTTCTCTGTAAGACTGAGCTATCTGGGGGATGGAATTCGAGACACGAGTCAAATGTAACGGTGAGTACTTGTTGCTGAAATTGACGTAGGATCGGTGACAATGTTTGCGCGGAGCCGACTGCCAAGAAGTACAGAAACCGCGTCCGGGCAGCTATGTTCTTGCCCCCCACCGATGCGGGATGAGAACGTGGCCGTGCGGCCAGGAGATATCTCTCGCCGGAAGTGAACTTGTTGCTGAATTTGGCACCCGTCTCGGCAAGTTGCGGAAGAGGGTGTGCTGCTGTCGTCTCGCAGCCCCCGAATTTATACCCTTCCACCATAATTTGGCCCAGGGGGAAACCGACGCTGATTTATTTCGACGAATCTCCCTCGTTTCTTGTCGGTTTTCTCAACACGTGATTTGTAGTAGAATTCTATTTCGTTAACAGATTTAATTGTAGCAAATTCGAATGCCTCCGCAGGTTCGAGTCGACTTATTTTATTCAGTTTCTTTCTTATTTTTGGTCTTATGAATCATCACCGAAGAGATACTATTAAAGAATGACGGCGCCCATGAAATCGATGGAATAGCAAAAATATTGTAAAAATGAATAATTCCGATTAATAAATGAATGAAGACGAATCTTGGCATTTTTATTTCACAATCCTTGATCAGTCTTGATATTTAGTAATCTCTTATCGCTGGTGTTATTATTATTATTTTTCTTATTAAACTGCTTGACAGTAATGATACTTGATACACATTACTCGAATGAAAAATGGCATACATTCAATACAATGGATAAAAATGGAATGAGAGTTTGGATTTCGATAAACGGGATGGAAGAGTAAAGGAACAAAAGTGATTGCACTTGTGAGTCTGTCAGGAACAGAGCTCCTGAGAGAGTAAAGGCTACCGATAATTTCATTCCCGATTTCCACTTTGCTCGATCAAAGCCTTTGTCCTTTCACGGATCAACTACGTTAGCGTGCATTTAATTGCTCAAGGATTCTTTATCCGCGAAAGGATTCATCGTTTGTCCAATTACCCGTTACGCCATTGCTTTTTTCAAGCGTTGAAGCTTGTTAGACGCTCGTCGATGATAATAAAGTACTGCTGAGAGTAGAATAATAATCTGTTTGCATAATCCCCGCTTAACCCTAACCGACGAACTGCTCTCTACGTTATTTTAAATCGAATCAAACCAAAGACATGATTATCTTAAAATGTACTTTAAATTATCTTAAAATATATAAAAAAATAATTATTTATTGTATAAAATACGAAGTTTCGTGTCGAGATCCATGTAGCTTAATTTCTAATAAATATCCAATAAATTGACGTAGAAATTCCCTGTTAAAATAATTACAGTTTGCAATTTATTAGCATTCTTCTGGAGTACCGAATAATGAAGAAAGCGCGGTTGCAAGAGATTCGTTAAGGAATCGCATAATACCGTGGCAAGATAAAAGGAAAGAGTGGAAGAAAGTGCAAGTTGCACTCGAGGCGAAATCTTGTAGCGTAGGAAAATGGTGCTCGTTATGCCATTCAATTTTCTCTGTTCACTCGAAGAAAAGCTTCGACTCGTCCCAGTTTACAGAATCGCCTTTTACAATCGTCCGCGTTTCAACCGACGAGTAACACGAATCATATCGACCAGGAATTTCTATTTTTATCCCGACATTTTTATTTTTCCCCCATCGACTACCCGAAAATCTGAACGAAGCAACAATAAAACCTGATCATAAATTCCCGTCGACCGTATTTGAAAATCGATAGCCGTTTTTGGCCTCCATAAATATCATTTTAGAGAATATTTTCCGGTTTCGCGTCGCAAAACCGATGCGAATTTTACTCGACGAAGAGCGACTCTTCGAAGAGAAGGTAATAAATATTGTCTAATAATAAATACATAAATTTAAATGTTCGATTGTACGAGTAGCGAGGCTATGTAATTTCATTGTTTCAACGGTGGAGTTCGCGGATCGAGTTCCATTTGTCAAGGACGAAATATTAGCCAGGCCGCACGAGCGTTTGGTAAATTTGACGAGGACGAATCCGCTTACGAACCTTGCCCCGGTCAACTATTTCGTCCGAGTTTCACTTTGTTTGATCACGACCAAGGATAACGATTTTCGATTCGCGACAAAATAACGGAAGACGACGTTATCTGTCTCTTTAGCCGACCGATCTTGGCATCTGGATGAGCCACTGTTTTCTTATCATCACACAGGATGAATCAAGAAGCCGTTTGAAATAGCTGACCGTCCGATAATTTCATTAAACGATTTTTTATTTAATTAAATTGAATTAGACGACGTTTGGAACGAATTAGGTCAGACGGACTGAATTTCTTATTTTGTACAGCTTATTGTATTCATATCTTCAAGGTTTTTAACAATGATTAAATATCGTTACTTGAGACAACATTCTTGTTAATTCATCCCGTACGCAGGTTTGATAGTCATTAGGGAGAAATAAAAAGATGTCCATTTATTGCCCAACTGCGAAATTAATCACTCTTCAATTTCAGTCTTGGTGTTTGTTATATAAAAATTGAATTGAGAAATCAATATCTTTCTTAAGTTTAATTTTTATGTACATTCTTTATAGTCATAAATTATTTAATGAACCAATTTTGTATCAATTAAATACAAACAAGAAATGTTTCTATGCATAAAAGCTAAGATCAGTTAATATAGGACAAAGTGTATGATTGATTAATTTCGTAAACGATGGGCAATTTATTTGACTGATCATTTAATTACCTGTGAACGACATTGGCGAGGAGATCGTTGTGCCGTAATCTGTAATCAACGTCCACTTTCTGATAGTTGACAGTCAGCGTCCCGGCCCGAATACAACGCTCGTACTCCTCGGCTGGATGGGCCCGAAACTCCCTGGCGAACACCTCGAGTATCTTCTCGCCCACCCATCTGCCCTTCGTGAACGTGGTGAACGTGAAGTAATACGGGTAAACCTTCCGTAACCCTAGAAGCAAACGTGGGTAACACGGTTGTAATTAATTTCGAACTTTTAATCATAATTAAAATTATAATCTAACGTGACGTCACAATACAACGCGAGCGAACGGTTTAATTAAATATAATAAACTCCTGGGTTATTGCAAGCAGGACAGAAGAATTTGAATAAAATTGTGAAATGAAATTAATTTAAGTGAAATGGAAATCTCCCTTCCAGAGATGAAGTTAAAATATCATTTTAAATTATTCGACACAGTGTTTGTTCTTATGCTCTGGTTAATCAGTCGTGGATCGATTTTCAATTAATAATTTCGTACACTGTTAAAATTAGTCATTTTTTATATTGAAATCAGACGAATTTGTAATTAGATGTTTCTTGCAAAAAAATCGTACGAAGTTGAAATTAATTCAATGATCGTAGTTGCTTTTATAATTGGCACACGCAGTGTGAGACTGCGATCTTGCTCTTAGCGTTCTTGCCGCTTAACCAAATTCCTGGTTTCTTGTTGGCCAAGTGAAAGAGAAGGGTGGCTGGTCGATTGAATCGGTTGAAAGGAGTCGATTGCTTTTCCACGAGTAATTCCCGGTCGCGTAGATCGGTGCAATTCCGCGGGCGATTGCCCCGGAATACAGAGGAGGAGTCGTTTTTCTCTTGATTTTTCCTGCGCTCCAACTGTTTCCCCGATTTCCCCATCGATTTTCCTCGCCCCTTATCCTTGTACACACCGTTTTCGTCCTGTCCAAATCGCGCAATAAATTCCAACGAAATCTTAGTACCTCCTCTGCAAATTATCTCTTCTCCTACCCATAAATCTCGTTTGCTCACAAGCTAGACTAGTAAATTCTATTTACAGAAATTCAATTGTATTTGATTTTTATCAATTGTAATTGAAAAATACTATCCGTCTCAATTATCAAATTAAAATTTAGGTGATGACACGGTGATCGATTTAAAATTTGAGAATGTCAGTACGTTATTTGTGACGTGACTAATCAGACAAGATCGCAATCGTTAATCAATTTTTGCTTAATTGGAACACGGAGCTGCGGACGCGGCTAAAAAGGAAGATTCGTTTTTTTTTTCTGGTGTCGCCACTCGAGAGGCCGCTCCACAAATTGCAGGGTAATCTTTTTCTTGGCTAGAAAGGAAAGAGCCTTTTATCCGCGGCACAACGCGACGCTTTCTTCTTACCCTCACCTACCCTCGACGAACCGATCGAACTTCAGCTGTTTAATTAAAATCATTTTAATTGCAAGAATAGAGCGGAATCGCTTTTACGCCCGTTTACAGCTTTGTCTCAGTTCTTTATAATAATAATGATTAAAAATTGATCATGTCTGTTGAATTGAAAATATCTAGAATAAATTTATATATTATGTATGGAAATTACGCGTTAATAGCGAATGTCTAGATCAAAGGAATGTAAATGAAAAAATTATTACACTGACTAAAAGAAATTTTAACGTAAAATGTATCGGAATTTAATATTTGGAAAATATCCAGTAAATTCTTGGAGAGAAGAGTAATTTGCGAGCTGAAAGCATCTCGTTTCTCCCGAATTTCAAACCGTCTGTCCCCTGAATAAAGAGGAGGGAAAAAGTAAATAGAGGGAGAGAGAGAGAGAGAGGAGAGGCCATCCTTTGACTCGATTGAACGAGAATGTTAATCAACGCGCATCGGCGTGTTTATTTCGCCGTTCTATTTTCTTTCCCGTCTCTCTAGCGGAAATTGTAGGTTACGAATGACGAGTTCCGCCGTTATCAAGGCAGGCAGAGAGAGAAAGAGAGAGAGGGAGAGAGAGAGAGAGGTCGTTCCAAGCTTACGGATTAATTTCTCCTACCGCGATACAAGAATTCACGCGGTTTTCCAATTAAACGAGTCGCCAAAGCCGGACGTAATCTAGTTTGCACCCTTCTAATGAAAAGGAATCTTCTTTTTTCACTTCATACGTGTCAAAAATTGAGCTTCCAAGAAAGAAAGGAATCAAGAATTATTATTTTGTTTTTATCTGTAGTAATTCCGCAGGATCTTGATAGATGGAAGAATGATTGTAAATTGCTTAAGTATCGAAAAATACTTTGGCACGATTTAAAATTATATTAAAGGTAGGAAGCCAGATATGAAACTAATTTTTACGCAGCAACAGCCGGTCCCAGAAAAACGGAGGAGCACGAATCGTTAGCAAAATCCTTAAGGATGTATTGGCTATACAGTAAATCCCAAAAGTTTATGTACCTTAGAAAGACGCATTTCCTATAATTAAAAATAGTGCATTATTC